GCCAGGCGTGGTGGCTCACGCCTGTAATCCCAGCTACTCGAGAGGCTGAGGCAGGAGAATCGCTTGAACCTGGGAGGCAGAGGTTGAAGTGAGCCAAACTCACGCCCCTGCACTCCAGCCTGGGCGTCAGAGTGAGACTCTGTGTCAAAAAAAAAAAGAAAAGAAAAGAAAAGATACTACGAGAAAATCATCCAGCATCAGGTAACGTGACATCCTTTCCTTTTCTTTCCCTGCCCCAGTTATTGTTTTCACCATGTTTGCTCAGTTTTTGCCCTGTTTTTGCCCTTCCTTTGCAGGAGGAGCTTACCAAATACTGCCTGATGGCAAGAGATGCTCAACAGGCCTTAAAAAAAAACCAAAACTTAGAAGTATTTTTGTTATTCTAAGCGTAGTACATATATTCTTATAAAATTTAGGAAATACACAAGCAAAAAAGGGAGAAATATCACACACATTGCTACTACCTAGAGATATAGTTAACAATTTGGTGTAAATATATATACATTTTATTTAAATAGGCTTATACCCCAAATACTGTATTCTATTTTCCATTGAACACAGTTGATAAAACAGTCTTCTGGAACATCATTTTACTGGTTACGGAGTATTCCTTTTTCTGGGTTTACTGTGATCTACTTAACCAATTTCCTACTATTGGCTTTTTCATGTTTCTCTTGGCAGAAATTTCTATAGCTTTATTAGGATATTATCATACAGCATGCTGCAAGACCTTTAAAAAATCCGATGGTAATATTTTTTCTTATTTAAGATCTACTCTGAAAGCTGCTTAGCGTTCTGGTTTTTACTTTTATCTCGTATCCTGGCTACACATATTGAACATTTGTGACAAGGAATTTTGTCCAACTTGGAGGTGACATCATGAGTTATTTTTATGCTTTGGGAGCTAAACTCAATTGCTTTGTCTCTGATTTTTTTAAAGAAAAATAATTTTTCAGAGGTAGGATCTTTTCTGAGCTTTTCCAGTTCCGTTATAAAAGCCAAAGATTAGGAGACTTTTTCTATTTAAGATGGGAAATGATGGAGTCATTGTCTGTAGCCAGAGGTTCTTCCTGGAAAAGTGCTTTGGAAACCCAAGATTGGTCTGGGCACAGTGGCTCATGCCTGTAATCCCAGCACTTTGGAAGGCCAAGGCCCGTGGATCACCTGAGGTCAGGAGTTTGAGACCAGCCTGGCCAACATGGTGAAACCCTGTCTCTACTAATAATATAAAAATTAGCCGGGCGTGGTGGTGGGTCCCTGTAATCTTGTCTACTTGGGAGGCTGAGGCAGGAGAATCTCTTGAACCTGGGAGGTGGAGGTTGCAGTGAGCCAAGATCACACCACTGCACTCCAGCCAAAGCAACAGAGTGAGACTCCATCTCAAAAAAAAAAAAAAA